TAAGCAAAGCGGGCTGAACCTTCTCTCGAGGACAGTAACATTTGACGCCATCTCTTGTGGTGTGGCCCATAAACAGTGACATGGTGGTAAAAAATAAATCACCCCCCCAACCCCAGACCCTCGTACTCCCCACACACACCCCTCTCCCCCACCCCCCCTGCTTCTCACTGTCTGGGCCGTGTGGCCATCAGAGGGCTGCAGAAGCTCATCAGCGAGAGCTTGAGAATCCTCCAAGGAGTTGTTCTGGGGTCAGCCCGGCGTATTCACGCCATAAACAGCTCCCGTCCCGGTCAGGTTCACCGCTAACTGTTTCCCGCTGCACTTTTGCTCACTGTCCATCCTTGCACTCCCTTTCCGTAGGCCCCGATAGCAGACGTTTCCAATAAATCTTTTGACCCCCCCCCCCCCCCCCTCCTCACCCTGTCTCGTCTAGGAGCCCCCTTGTCTGTCCCCGACTTGGCCCGAGTTGATGCGTTCTGCTGAAGTCACTTAAATAAAAAGATCGCAGTGGGAGACATAATGTGTTAAAGTAATAAGATGGTCCCGGGCAGGTCACGGCCCCTTTCCCTGCTCCAGTGCTCCTGCGGAGGCTCTTTGAGTTAATGGGCTGTGGTCAGTGCACTGGTGAGCCATAAAGGCTGCCCTCTGAAACTACAGGCCTATTCAGAACAGGGGATCCTCCAAAAGCCACTAACTGGCCCATCTAGATAACAGCACACCCAGCACTATTTCCACAGCGCATCCGACACTCCCAGGACCTGTAAATCTCTGGTATTTATCATCGCCTCTTGTACCTCTCTCCCCCCTTGACTGCCAGCCTCACACAACTGTCCTTCAGTGTCAGCTGGATTTCACCGGTCGCCTGGTGGAATACAGACTTTATACAGGCTTTCTTTCCCAGCAGTTTTTCCAACTTTCCGTCTAAATTCACTTGTTCTTATTTGACCTGGATCCAAGCCACGCATAATACCCTTTTCCATTTGAATCTCGCCATAACGGATAAAGTTTCGGTGTGTGATAATTAATTACGACGGAAGTATTGAGATTGGGAAGCTGTAACAAATCATCCTATTGCATTTTCTGCAGCAGGTTATTGTTGTGATGGCCAGTGTGACTTCACTCGGGTGTGCAGGCGTGCTGAACGGAGGGAGTGACCGTTAATGAATGTAGCTTAGGGGATTAATGAGAAGAAGCAGGGGACGTGTCGTGGAGAAGTGTTTGGGCTTCATGACGACGACACCGCAGCCCCCGTCCTCGTCTCCACTTACAGTGATTACATGTGAGAACCTGTCATGTGCTATAAGGGGTTATATGAAATTGTATTAAATGCCATTGTTTATGCCTCACTTTTCACTTCCTCATTGGTCTTCCACTGTTATTTCGTTGCCTGCCCTTAGCACGCTTCATTTGAGCCTCACTTAAGGTTTCGTCATCAAGGCGTTAGCGTGTTAAGTCAAATTAAGCTATTTTTCCTCACGCCAGATATGTGGAACCATCGCATTTCTTTAGCCCACTGAATTCTTTTCCTTGTGAATGATTAATCTGTACGGTTCTCTATCAGCAACAACAGATGAGAATAACTAGCCTCAATAACCATTTGCAAAGGCAGGTGGATTTGCAACAACAAAACCTGCAGTAATAATCTTTCTGCTCATTTAAGCGTGCAGAACAATCCAACAGGTCTGACCAATTGCTAACTAATATGGAATCATTAAATGATTGCTCAAAAAGAAGCACAAAAAAATTAAGCATAATAATTCTCAGATTTTTAACACACTTAAACGTATAAAACCAATGATGAAGAAAAATATGATCCGTTACAACAATTGAAGGCTGAAAAACTCTACCATGTATTATTGTTGATTCTAAACATTTGTTTCTGAATTAGGTATTTTCGGTCAAGACTTTGCCTCGCCCAAATTAAGGAAAACCCAAAACATCACCATCATCTACCAGGGGTTGAAGGTGGTGTGGATTTATAAAGCTACTACTGCCTGCGTAGGAAGCAAACTATCACTACCTACTAGGAACAACCACCTGAATTGATCGTTTTATCATGAAGTTGTGGTTTGCTAATAAATTCGCTTATCAGACGTTTTGTTGCGTCATCAGCTTTTCAACGCTGAAAAAATAATCGGTTCTAAAATAATAATTTCCATGTGCTTAATAGCCACACATCTGATAGATACTTTTTGACCTCAATCAGTTTGTACCAATGTAAGAATAGCAGTGTGTATTAAACATTTTTTACAATAACCATTTCCCCCTCTCTGCGTAAGAGAGGGAGACGGAGCGCTAGAGAGAGAAAGAGAGCAAGCAACAGCAAGACACTAGACAGACGGGCTGCCTCCCCCCAGCATGGCTATAATAACCTCCTGGTGTTGGGGCAGAGTCTCTGAGAGATATCCTTGAGCCTCACCTCCATCTCTCTAACAGGTCACGCCGAGATCCGGGAGATAGTGAGCTATAGTTAAGGTCCAGATCCTCTATCTGGGCTTGAATGATGGAGGAAACCATGTGGCGACATGTTTATTGTCACCCAGATGGTTCACAATGCAGTGGCTTGGTGAGCCACATCCGTCCCTAATATAATTCATGGGGTGGCACCATTGTGGGGTGACTGATAAGGCCTTCACTTTGCCGTGCACTGGTCACTTGTCTCCAGGAAGCTCCAAAGAAACTTCACTCTGTACAAATGGTGGCCAAAATATCTAATCCCACAGCGGGTTGCACTTTAGTGCTAAAACCCGGAGCGAGGTTACATGGCTGAGAAAGGCCATTTGTAATAGGAGAATTCTCGCTTCACAATTGGACTCTTTAGAAGAATTCTTATTTACAAAAGGAAAATCAATTCCTTGTGAGAAAACAGAGCAGGAAATGTAGCATAGATGAGAGGGACTAGAATAACTCCAGCCCACCCAGAGTGGCACCCATAAGCAGTCCTGGCTGTCCACACAAAATTAAGCCCCCAATCTTTCGCCTTGTCTTGTCAAAAAACGTCGGCACCTTAAACCTAAAGAATTTCCCCCCAGCAAAAAAGCCTAGAAATGTTATTCTTACAAATGATTAAATTGAGGTGCGTTAGGTGACATTTTGAAAGCGAAGGACACCATCAAACAGGCATTTCACCCGGGGAACGTTAAATGGAACCAAATGCTCAGAAGAGCGCGTTGTGGTCATTAACGAGGAAGATCAGAGGAGATCAGCTTGGAATCCAGGAATCTGTTTCCCATCAAACGAAAAGGGGCTCACATTCTCCAGAGACCTTTTCTCTGACACGTAAAGTGTGTATAACTGCATAAAGATATTTAGGTAATCTGGTCACAATCATCATGGTGCGTTATCATTCTGGGCAAAGACTCAAAATGTGTTACTTACCACTGCTGACGCTCACAGACCTTTGCATGGAAGCATATTTATCAAAACCTTGCTATCACCTGGAATCTTTAAAGACTTACTGTGTAATTTAATCGTTAGTCGTTTGACTATCTTGGGTGGGTTAAGCTTTAGCAAGTATGCATCCTGTGTACAGTAGATTCAGGGAGGCATAGACAGACAGCATCCATGAAGCCCTTCACAGCCATCTCACATATTTTACCTGATAAATATTAATATTCTATTTATCACCTTTCCTCCCCTTCAGCATCACCTTTTGATTGTCTCCAAGCTACTGCTGCGTTAACACAACAGCAAAAACACACCGAGCTGGCCGGACAAATAGAAACAACTATCATGATGCAATAGAGTGCAATACAGAAGGGCTGCAGCGAATACTTTCCTACTTCAATTTCCAGTTTGCTGACCCAACTCTACTATCTGAGTAGATAATTACTTATCTAGTTTTACTTCACATGCAAAGTGTTTGTAATACGGTGTTTTATTATTTCATTTACACATATAGAAGGATACTATGATCTAGTAGAGCTGGGCGCTCAGAGGTCAGTAAAGGTCCATAGTGCAAATTTGCATGCTGAACTTCCTCAGTGTTGAACTCAATGTGAAAAATGGTCGCTTGCAAATACAAAGATTGTGACAACTCCATCCCAGCTGAGATGGGTGTGAAATAGAAAAGGAGGTGTTAATAAGACCTTACACCTTGTTCTCTGTTTGATAAGTGTAAAAAGGGTTGCTTAGAATAAAAACCTATATGCGTTATAAATTTTGACCAAAATAAGTAGGTAGTATAAACTAATAGGTACAAATAACCCTATGAAAGGTCGCTGTTATCTGTAACACAACTGAACACAACAGTAACGGCCAGATTCATCCTCCCACGCATATATATGCAGCGCACGTGTTAAAACAAAGAATCACAGGACGATACAAATGCATTTAAACAAACAAAAACTGTGTTGATGCACTCAAAATTCAAAAAGGCATTCATGAGCGCACGTCCAATCTACATCATCAGCTGACGCTTATTTTTCAGCGAGAACAGCAGTTGGAGTTCTGCCTATCGAAGCAGCATCTTTATCCGAATGGAAAATGAATCCTCAAGGAACATGGCCAGGCTCTTTATTGTGTATGCAGTGTGTGGCCAGGTTCAAATTGGCAATCAATTATCCAATTAAGACTGACAGAAATGCACATCAGGAATTCCAGCCCATCAGTCCAGGCTTCTGATTGGAACACGATTAGAGGGACTTAATTAAACCCTAGGTGCTGGGTGTTTAAACATCATTTGTGAGGCATCGGAGGGATTGGAAAATATAAATCTGGACTCTTGATTCTCCACACTTATCTCAGACACACAACAGAAAAGACGTGAATAAATGTCCCGCCTAAATGTGACCGTGTCCTTCATTCAAAAGAGGTGCGGTGAGCATAGAATTGTAAAATTAAAATACACGCCCTTGGGAAGATCAGAAGAAAAATGTTAATATTTTACAAAATGGCACAGTATAATGCAACAACAATAGCGACCATGATATTGTGCCACATTAGTCTTAAAACCATTCCCACGGTTTAACGGACTCTGAATAATTCAAGGACATACCGTACCACGGAGAGCTGTATAAGTGTGATGTGCAGGATGAAATGCAGCTTGCTTCCCAGATTCGTAGGGGTATGTTCTCACTTGCCCAACCTCTCCGTCTCCTGTGTGGTTGTTTAGTGCCTGTATTGATTCCTGAGCCGTTTCTTCCTCCTATGTCAGACACTGTGAAATGGAAGGCACTGCATTTTAATATTGGGTTGTGAATTAATCATTTTTTTTCCCTGATAGCAAAGCTCAGGTCTGTCCCTGTAGGAGGACACCTTATCACAGCAAATAGGATTCAAAGGGAGAGGAGCAGTATAATCCACAGCTAATTGGATGAAATGGCTGTGCATTCGCCCTCATTCGAGGGGCTAGCGTCCATGCAGCCCCCTCCACAGGGATCTTGGAGCCACCAAAGAGGTTATTACAGTTTGCCCTGAGGGAGCATTAATACCTTAGCCCTTGTTCAGACATGCAAATAATCTAATTCAAGGTCTAGCTAATTAACAACTTTGCAACAGTAAAGATAAAGGGGCTCAATAATAAGCACAAGCATTTGGTGGGAGGGCAATGTGCCACCTACCATAGATGCACCAATGTCACCAAAACAGGAGGTGCACTTGGAAATTAGCAAACAACCTTGTGTTTTGATTCATTAGAGGGTTTTAAGCAAAAGTGCAGAGCGATCCCCATTAAAGGCTGATGTAAAACTGGTCACTTTGGGTACTGTATGGAAATTATCAAGGAGGGGAGTCTACATGTTTTTCAGGGGGGAGGAGGGGTGGGGTCTACAGTGATTGATTGTTATCCCTCCACAGAAGCACGCCTTTAGTCACCATCTTTTAGCAGCATCCACCTCCCCTTTATTCTGCATCTGAACAGAAGGCAGTGCTACAGTAAAGCACATTGAGTCAGAAGGGACATCTGCAATTTGTTATGCTCGCCATAAATGTAAAATTGCTTGTTCCACTTCTATGTGTGCATTTTTTTAATTAATATTCCCGTCAACATCCATACGTTCAATTGTAGTTTGAAATGTTAAAATTCTTGCCGCGCTTTCAGTTAATAGCCAAATAGATTATGGACACGTCAAAGGGAAAGTCAGAAGCAAGTTAATTTTTTTAAATGATAATAATAGGGAGGATGTTGCTTTTTAAAAGACTGAAACAGAATGTTTACACCCTCACCCAAAAACCTGCCTCTTACAGAAGTCTTACAGAATTTAAATGTTTTCTTTCAGGGTAATTGCTGCAATGCAATGTTCATTCACATGCACGGTTGTTTATTGAGTAAATGTTTAAAGTTGTGTATGAACCATGGCGTTTAACCCCTGGGATTTATGAGCTGACAATATGTTGAGTGTGATGTTTTCAGTGAGCGATCAGTCGGATATGTCAACATTTTTTTGACACTAAGCATGCTTAAGTCTAATAAGAGTTTCTCCTTGAGTGCTCATGCGGCACACTATGGGCACTTATTTGAATAGCCTCTGTAGGCTGTTGTCTCATAATAGGCAGCGGGAAAATGGAACATGTTTTAAGGCATCTCTGGCTTTTCCAGGGTAAAATGTTAATCCAGCTTTAGCAAGGTTACATGGTCAAGGTTGCCAAATTACCAACGAGCACTAATCACCCCTGCCTTGGAGCAAGTCTGGCTCAGAAGCAAAAACTGTGGAACGTTGCTCCCAGCCCCCACTGAAATGCCTCAACACGCCCACAACCACACTGCCTTCGCTCTGTGTGAAATTGTGATTTACAACATCAATTTACAACCGTCAATACCTAACAACATTTTCTTAAATACATGAAGTTTCTGCTGCAAAAGGTCTGTGTTCTACCTCGGAGGTTATTTCCAATGTGTCTTAAGTGTACACTATATTAGACTGAATATGACTGACCTTTAGAAATGACAACATGACAAAGAAGTGAGGATCAGCATCAATTAAGAGGAAACGCCATTTGCATACATCTGTTACTTTCTTATTATTCTTTTAAAAATTGAGCATGAAAACCAAGAACAACGATTCAGCCAATTATGAATCTTTCTGTAAACCAACCATTTAGTTTTGTAATGTGCATTGTACATGTGTTTGTATGTGCGTTTGCCTGCGTGTGCAACATTAGCTTGTTCTCTTCTCATCCATGGGGTAAACATAAGGAAGGATATAATGACCACTTATGTTCAGCCTCTAGCGATGTTCTTAACGACTGATGAGGTTTGTAATCTGTTCAATATGCTGTTAACTAACAACGAAAAGGGAAACCTCCACTCACCTAGCCGGCTCATTGTTAAAGGAGAAGTTTCTTATTGCTCACAAATACCATGAGAAGTAAAATACTGATAATTAATTGACCAGGCTGATAAGTGTTGCCTCTGTAATAACAAGTTCAGTGATGTCTGCTATTTCAGGTTTAGACTACAGACCCCAATTGTTGCCTTAAATCGATGAGCCAATGAGGGAACTATAGCGCCCGATTCAACTTTATTGTCATTACACATGTACAAGTAGAGAGCAACGAAATGCAGTTTGGCATCCAACCACTGGTGCAACAGTATCACGATAAATAACAGTATATACAGATTATAAATAAATGAAGCGCTATACAGAGGGTGGCTTGGCCTGACCTGGTATGATTTGGTAATAAATTGACAACAACAGCACAAAATAAAGTAATCCGTATTCATACATAATTACATAATTTTGACAAAAATTAGTCCACAGTTCATGTGGTGCCGTCCTCCATGGTACTAATTCTTGAAGTAGGAATAACCTTTTCTATAAAAGTTGAACCGAACCAAAAATCTTTCAATATTCTTACACAATCACTGATGGTTATCATGAGGATCTTCAAGGACCTTTTTTCCATTCCATATTGGTGTCTTAGTTCCTTTGATATTATAAAGGGTTAATAAAATCATAGCATAAAATATAGTATACCAAGTGTTAGAGTCCAATCACTCTTTTTAATAGCTTTGTAGCGGCCAGAAAATCAAGTATTCATGAAGATTGACGAAGATGATCCAGTGAACTTCAATTTAATTGGTGCAAATTAAAACAATCCATCTTTTGCCGCTGTCTATCTACCTGCTATCACCACTTCATTCCTCGTCTTGCACCTTGATTACAATTATCTTTTTAATAGCAAAACTTGTCAGCCATTTCTCTCAGTTCTGATTTACGTCCCGGCCCAACGCAGCGTTGTTCCGCTCATATTATTCATGTTTTAGTGTAATGCCGACTAAGCCTCCACTGGGCAGACTCAGGAGGTATTGACGCCATCACCTCATATCTGCTGGGTGCCATGACATATGGCAAACTGTCTGTGCGGCATAGGTCACGATGCTTCCCCCATTCATACAAAACGAGCGTGTTTGCATGCCTCGGGTTTGGTCCCCCTGTACATCAATGGATTGCGAAATACTTTTGTACAGTGTCCAATAATGGTTCCAGGCAATTAGACCAAAAGACACTGTGACTTTTAATGTGTGACAACGCGATCTCTCTCCCTCTCTCTCCTCTTTCATCCTCTCCTGCCTCTCACCTGACATGCTGAGCTAAGGCCTTTCCAAAGATACGTAGCTGTAGTCTAGAGTTTATCATAAAATGGGACTGGAAGTTGAAATGCTCGTTTTATGTGACTAAAGATTTCATAGATGACACCGGTGTTGCTGCTTTGGGAGCGGAAGGCCGTTGAGTTAAGCAGAACGTAACATATTTGCGAGATCGGAGCAAAACAGAAACTGAAAACCCGACACAATACTGTGAGGAGAGCAGAACAAAAGCTATTTTGAATTCATTGTACACTGCTGACTCACTGCTAAATGTGTCCAAACTTTTGCAAAGTATTCCTCTGCAATAGTTTGTAATTTTAAAGAGAGGCCAGAGCGAGTGTCAGAAATAATTTGTCTACACTGTATTTCAAAGTAGCAGCAGCAGACTCATTGTTGCAGCAATAAAATATATCCAAGTCGAGAGTTTCAGCATTTGGAATTGCTGGACATTACAGCAAATGAGCCATGCATGGGCAATAATCAACTGAGAGATGGAAGAAAAACAAAGCGAGTATACATACTTCATCAAATTCATATTAAGATATGTGATCAATGGGAGAATCTCCTTTGCTCCATAGTATTTTATTGCCAATAATGATTCACTTACCGAGCATTATATATCTATTACGCTCTTACAATTCCGACAAACAAATTAAAGAAACAACTTTAGGAAGTAAAAAATGACAAGGATTTAGTTGTATACATTTATCGATAAATGTAAGTGTTCCACTCACTTAACCAAAAATAAAATGGGGGGAAAAAAGAGATTCTGTTGGTGCTTTTGGGAATTGTTCGGCCATTTTCACAGTGCCCCAAATAAACTTGGATGTTCTCCATCCATCAGGTGACTACATGGAGAGCTGACCTGTCATAAATTCACTCTGTGGGGATGATGACAGGGCTGAAGCCAATCTTCATGAAAGAAAAAGAAAATGGCACTAGGTTCCCATCCCCCCCCGACTCCCTGAACCCCAATCCAACCTCAACTCACCCTTTACCCTCAGTATGGGAGGACCCCTCTCTCTCCCTCTCTCTCCCTCTCTCCTCCATGGGTAAGCAGGTAATCATGAGCTGTCACAGAAAGGTGACCCATTAATGTGATGGATACGGTGTGAAAAACAAATGGTGTGAAACGTGTGGATTGCTGTCCTTACTGCACCTTGGCCTTTTGTTCTGTCATATCAATATCCACACAGGGCCTCATTACACTGCTGCACTACACAATGAGTGGAGCGCCGGGGTCAAGGCTGCGCCACGCTCTCTTTGACGGGCTCTGACTGGGCTTTTCAGCTCAACCTCAGCCCAAAGGACTTCCAGGTAAACAGGAAGAGGGGCAGCCCCCCCCCCCCCGAGCCAGAGACAGCACACATCATCCCGGGGCTAAATAAGCAACCCCGAGTGGTCCTGTAGACATCACAGGCCCCGACACTGCTGCTTTCCAATATATATATATATATATATATATATATATATATATATATATACTGTATGTCTACACACAGTGCTGACAACAGCATGGAAAAAAAATCTATGTTTTAAGGTATTTTTACGTTGCTTCTAAGTAAGTTCATTGAACACTTCGTTTCATATATTTTCTTTGTTATTTTTTCTAAAAACTTTGAGGTTCC